TTGCCCTTGAGGGTTGCCCAGGGCTGTGCCAGGCTGCCCAGGGCAGTGGTGGAGTCCCCACCCCTGGAGGGGTTTCCAAGCTGTGGAGATGTGGTGGGAGGGACACGGGGCAGTGGGGACCTGGCAGTGCTGGGGGAAGTGTTGGATTCAACTTTAAAGGTGTTTTCCAACCAAAATGATGCTGTGATCCTATGACCTAAGACCTTTGTGGTGCTTTCCCAGCTCCCCCTCCACAGAGAGGAACTCAGCAGGGCAACCTCCCCTCTGACCACAGGCAGCATGGTTCCCCAGAGCCCTCTGCTTCAGCCCAACCCAGCTGATGCTCCTGAGACTCCAGGGAGAGAGGTGGAGCAAATCCCCTGCCTGTGGTGGGGAGGGGGGAGGGGAGCCGGGACAGCAGCTTCCATCCCAAGGCAGGGCTGTGCCTACAGCCACCACCTCCCCAGGGTGACAGGGCCCCGCCCCTCCCGGGGGTCCCTGCGGAGCTGAGGGGGAGGTGACAGGCTGGCTGGCTGTCCCCATGTCCCCACAGCTCTGTGCTCACCTCCTTCTCCAGCTCCAGCTCCGAGTCTGAGGAGGACGGGGCCTTGGCGCGGCCTTTCCGACCCTTCTTGGCTTCGTCCTCGGCGCTGCTGTCCGAGTCCGAGCGCGCCTCCTCGCCCTTCTCTGCCTTCTCCTTCCTCCTCTCCTTCTCCTCCTTCTCCTGCTCCCGGAGCCGACGGATCTCCTCCTCCTGCTCCCTCTTCCTCTTCTCCTCCAGCTCCCGCCGCCGCTCCTCGTCTCGCCTCTTCCACTCGCTGATGCGGTCCACATCGCTGGAGCTGTCGCTGCCGGGCACAGGGCAGGCTCAGACCCCTCCCCACCGTGAGGAGGGGACCCTCCAGCCCAGCCCAGGGGGTGCTGGTGTCCCAGCAGACCTCACCTGTCGCTGCTGGAGCTGGTCGGGACACGCTCGGGCTTTGGCTTCCTGCCGCGGGGCTTGGGAGGGGGTTTCTCAGCTGGGAGAAAAGGGGGAGAGGCTCAGCAGGAGCTCTGGTTGTCCCTCTGCTAGAACAGCAGAAGGTGACCACCACACCAGGAGACCCCAGAGGCTCGGGAGCCCCCAGCCCAACGTGCTCCCCAGTGCCCTGAGGGAGCAGGAGCAGCCCAGCAGTGGTGGGAGCCCCTGGGTGCTACCTGGCTTCCTGCCCCTCGGGGCCTTCTTCACAGACACCTCCGAGTCTGAGTCTGAGTTGGAGTCTGACTTGGTCATGTCCACGGCCGTGTTCCCCATTTCTGAATCCGAGTCCACTTTGGAGTCTGAGTCAGAGCCAGAGTCCACTTTCTGCAGGCACAG